CGGCCCCCCAGCGGCCGCGGCCGGCTCGGCAGGCGGCGGCGGCGGCGGCGGGGCCCGGGCGCTGCTCCGCGGGGCCGCGCCGTCGTCGCGGTGCGGTGCGGTGAGATGAGGGCGCGCATCCCCGGAGCCGCGGCCCCGCGTGCCCAGAATATGCAGCTCGGGGGTCGCCTGCCTCGCGGAGACGTGGCATCGGCCAGGCCCAGAGGAGACCCGCCCGGAGCGCTGGCTGGAAGGCCGGGCGCGGAGGATGCAGCTCGGATCCTTCGGCCGCGCCACGGGCAGGACGGACTCGCGGGAGAAGTGACGGGCGCCCCGCAAGAGCAGGGGTGGGCTCGATGGCCTCCGGGGCCCCTCCGGACCCTGCTGTTCTAGGCTTCTATGACCGCAAAAGGAGAAGGGGTGGCAGAGGTTGAGCGGGTCCCTGGGGCGGCGGGTGTGGGCTCGGGTGGACTCCGGGGATGGTGGAGGGCAGGAGAGCCTGGAGGAAGGTTGTCCGTGGGGTCGCGATGGATCGAACGCGACTTTGCTACTAAACAACAACAAATGTTCAGAAAGACCCTCATTCATTCACCCCCCACCCCATACACACACAGACACAGTATATTATGCCCCTGTAATAAGACTACTATTGAATCCCGTTTATATAAGCATCGATTGAAGCAGTATTTCAAAGGCATTTTAAAATCTGATTTTTTATTTAGTGACTTCTTGTTCTAAACAGAAAAAAATATACAGCTCCCTTTCACCTCCCAATAAAATTGGACTTTTAGTGCAAAGTCTTCTTCAGTGGATAAAAATCTTCATATTTATGAAGTACAGTACATAATTATCAAGCACAAAATTAACCTTTTTTAAACCATCAGGTTAACACGCAGCTAAATTCAGTGATCAAACATTGGTTCTCTTTGACCTGCCTTCAGGGGTGTTACATGGGATCAGGGACCCGACCCGTTCAGTGCCATAAATAACGGAGGCTGGAAGTTGAGAAATTATCGGCTTCGTTAACTTGAATTGCCAGCTAGTCAGTGCTATTGATTCCCTTTTACTAGGGGCTGAGATTCTTGTATTAAATGCTTTGTTAAACACACAGCTTTTCATCATAATAGGAATTCAGTGAAGATGACAAATGGGACACATCATTCTCTCTCATTGTTCCATTTTTTTATCAAGCGGTAAAATTATTCTTCTCATCCGCATCTCCCAAAATCCACATCTACTGAGGTCCAACAAGCAGCACACTTCATTCGTGTATTCATTTGTTCGTTCAATCATTCATTCATTCATTCCGTTTTTTGTGATTCCCCTCAAAATGGGGGCTCACGACTCAGCAACAAACAGTGGGCTCTCTTTCTGCTTGTTAGTGGTTCACAGACCATGGTTAGCTTGCTGGGTTTGCACATCACAATAACCCCCATTTCCACAACCCACGGGTTAAATAAACCATGGGTTAGCAGTTAATGTGAACAAGGTCACTCTTTGCAGTGCTTCACCAAGCGATGGAACAAAAAAATAAAGGTACCATGTTACAAATGGTGTTACCAGACTTCTGTGGAACTTTTGTACACATTTCCACCATCCTAAGATTTCGATTTGTTAGCCTCGATTCAAATATGAAGACTGAGCTTTTTCTGTTGCAAAGAGCAAACTGATTCTGCATGTAGGACAAGATTTTTCCACAGGAAAGGTTAGAATTTAGGAAGGAAGGACAGAAGACTGGATCACTTCCGATTAATTTTCTTTTTGGCTTTGATAGCATTTTGCATTCATTCTTCAACCTGTTGCTGACAAAGTGCAAAGTAGCTCCATTATACTCCTTTCTTTCCCTTTACCTTCTTTTCTTAAACAAATAACAATATATATCCTGTATATAAATAGATTTATATATTTCAATAGAATTTTTCCTATGGAGAGGAAATGCTCTCCCTCTTTCCTGGTGTACAAGACACCATTTCAGACTCTGTTCCTGTAAGAAACCATCTTCGGCCAACGCAACATGACTCCCAACAGAGCCAGCGACCCACCCAAGCCCCCAAGCCCACCTACCCACAACGCTACCTATCCGGCCACAGGCAGTTGTTCTGAATCGCAAAGGTCCTCTCCCCCACCCCAAATCAAGCCGGTTCGGGACCCTCCCAGAGAGGGGAGTGGGGGGCCCCCCTCTCCTCCCACCCCAGGATTCAGGCCCGCCCTTCGGTTGCAAGGTTCCAGGTGACCTTCTGATCCTCCACGTGCCTGAATGGCCACATCACTACATAGATGGCAATGTATAATGATTCTGAGAAGACCGAAAACTAAACCAAAGCCCCGTGCCTTCTAGAGGCATCTATTTTGACACACTCCGCGCGATTGAATTGCTTCCCATTTCAAGAGTCTTGTGATTGATCTTGCCTCTAAGCCAACTGTACTTTTTGTAAATTTGTTGTCAGTTTCTTCTACATTTTCTCAGATATTTGGCCTACACTTTGAAAAACAAAACTTGAGCTGAGTTCCGGTGGATTAGGGTTAAAAGCAAGAGTGCAAATAGGTTAACTTTACAACGATGAAACCTCGGTGTTTCCCCCCCTTATGCTCCTTCACTACGGAATCTCCACCCATCGATTCTCCCTGGCTTCACGACGGTATCCCAAGATTATTTCTGTTCTCAGTCGCAGGCAACACTGGCACCAAGCTTTCCTTGAAACATTGTCGGACGTGAAATCTTTTCTCGGTTCCAAATGGCAGCAGGCGGGAAACACCGCGGTGGAAGCCTAGGACAAGGGAGGGGCCGTCTTCTCCCAGAGGATGGTCCGGGCTTCCCTCCCGTACCCTTGGCTTCAAAGTTCAGCATTTCTGATGTCGGGAATTTACAGTAATGATCGCAAGTCCAGCAGGGCTGTTGCAGTCAGAGGCTCACCTGTAGCTTAACGAACTGGCTGCTCCAGAGGGACAGAAATCCCGCTCTGAGCGATCCCCGCAGATTGCTTACCATTTCCAAGAAATGCTTCTGCACCACTGCCAGCTGGGGAGGTACAGAATCGCCCTGCCTCGGTCCTAGAAGTCTCTAGTTTTGAAAATGAGGCTTCTGTCTTCATTTTGATAGCATGGAACTACTTCCAAACAGGATGGGGCTCGTGCCTGAGGGGACTCGGTGCATGGAGGCACGGCCAGCGTTTGTGGCCCTCGGCACTTCTTGCAAAGCTTCTCACAGAAGCGTAGCTGTGTCCATGTTCTACTTCCACGGTGAACGAAGACCAGGCTCAGTGTTTCTGGAAGCCCTTTGGAAGCGGAGGGGTTAAACTGCTGGATCAGGCAGCTCACCAACATCGGTCCAAAGGCACGGCGGTGGCTTTTTCACCCAGCACCTCCAGAAGCGCTGGGATGAGTTTTTCAGAACAAGATGTAGTGCCCATTTCTGAACGACAAGGCGAACTGCTAGATACCTTTAAATGACGGGGCCCTGTGTGGTGGAAGAGCCGTGGAGCGGTTTGGGAGAGTGCAGAAGACAGCTCTGTACACCTGTGGGGGAAACGTTTTCCAGCTTTGTTTGAGGTATCCAGTAGTAACCACGACTGAATTTTAATCTTGGGCAGATGGACGAGCACGGATTAAACCCAGCAAGCCTCAGGGGCTGGTGGTGTCGGGCGTTACATCTGCTCTAGCTGCATAGTTTCTGTTTCCCATGCCTCAGTTTATAGAGTCATCATTTTTTTCAGGTTAGACCGGGATTAAGTGCAAAACTTAATGGTAAGAGTTTCCAAGGCAAACGGCAGCAACAAAAACACTCCAGTTACTTATATAACATATAGCGTGCTGTGCAATTCCTTCTGTGCTGGTAAGGTGTCGTCTTGCTGGCATATTTCGCAGCTGCCTCTTGAGAATCAGAAACCTGAACAATGGTTCCGCTGCAATGCAATTTCAAAATAATGAGCCCAATGAAAATATTTCCAGCAGTGCATTAAGTCTACGGAGGAGCCGTTTTGTTCCAGGGTGGCTTGGGAGCGTGTCTGGAGGGAAACCAGCGCCGCATCCCTGTAACAGATGCCTAAAGCGGAGAATAGGTTGCTCTACCTGCGTCTTGAGATCCGTAGGAAGGATGCGAAGGGTGTCTGGGAGCTAATGAAGATGTGTAAGAAACTATCTGCGACGCTGGGCACACCAGTCCTCAGAGGAATCACACATTGCTGATGCGGACACTCAGGGGAGTGCCTTCCCTCTCGGCCTTCTCCCGGAAGGATTCCTCCAGCTTCAGTTTCTCGGGATCGCCAAACCGCACGGTCTCATGCAGGCAGCAAGGCGGGGCGACTTTGACCACCTGCTCAAACAGACTAAAATCGGCTACGTACTTCCCGCTGGCGGAGACAGAAATGACGGGCGTGAACTCGTAGCCCCACAGGATCTCCTCCGGGAGGTAGGAGGTCCGCACCTGGCACGTGGCGCTGGTGGATTCCACCGTGCCGCTGAGAATGACCACGAGCTCAAAGTCTCCTTCTCCGGTGCGCAGGGCCATGTCCCGGAAGGGGCTGTTCTCATTCACCACGTGGTAGAAGGTGAGGGGCAGGATGAGGAAGGGGCTGTCGGAAGAGGTGTCCACCTGGAAGTCCACGTTGACCTGGTTCAGGCGGACGTTCTCCCCTTCTTTGGTCAGGTGAGTCTGCAGCAGCTTGCCGGTGACCTGGCAGCCGATGAGCAAGCTCTTGCGCATGTTCGCCACCCGGATCATCAGGCAGGTCTTGCCGTCGTGCTGGGCCACCACGGCGTGCTGGCTGAACTTGATGGTCTCCGCCCGCTTTTTGGGCCGGGCGATCTTGGCCAGGAAGGTGCCGGTGATGAAGATCTCCATGATGGTGGTGAGGACCAGCTGGCTGATGAGCAGGATGATGGCCAGCGGACACTCCTCGCTGATGTACCGGAAGCCGTAGCCGATGGTGGTCTGGGACTCCAGGGAGAAGAGGAAGGCCCCCGTGAGCGTGTGCACCTGCATGACGCAGGGCGTGTGGTTGGCGGGAGGGTCAAACTCCAGCAGGTCCCCGTGCAGGACGGCCACCAGGTACCAGACCACGCCGAAGATGAACCACGTCCCAGCGAAGGAGGCCGAGAAGAGGACCAGCTTGTAGCGCCACTGCATGTCTATGAAGGTGGTCCACAGGTCCTTCAGGTAGAGGAAGCGCTTGTCGGCAATGTGCTCCATCCGCACGTTGCTCCGCCCGTCCTTCGTCATCACCCGCCTCTTCCGCAGGGCGGAGCCGAGCAGTGGGCGGCTGTCTGTCTGCGTCGTCTGGCTGTAGTAGACCTTCGTGGCGGAAGTCATCTGGGGGGAGAGAAGCGGAAAAGCCCAGAGGGCAGAATGAGCCGAGGGCGGGCGATGTTGGGGCAAGATCGGCTCTGTGGCACCGGGGTCAGCCGATCCCAACCCCAGCCGAAACCCGAACCCTTCGGGCCCCCCGCTGGGTGGGGGGAACAGACGATGGGGCCCAGCAAGGCTCTCGTCCTGCCCTCGGTTCCCGTTTTCTGAATGGGTTCCACGACAGCAGCAAGGCGTGCGTGAGCAAGCAGGCTTTGATCCATGCCCTGCCCCCGTTTCCCTGGAGTAAACCCAGTACTTGCCCTGCAACTGGCTGCAGGAAGAAGGCACTGGGCATATTTAGCCTGGAGAAGGGAAGGCTGAGGGGAGACCGCGCCCCACAAGTCACGGAGAGGAAGGCCGGATCTCTTCTCGATCCTCCCAGCGGACACGACACGGGATAACAGGCCCAAGTTACACCAAGCTGAGCGGCAGGGAGAAATTCCTGACCGGGGGGGCAGGATGACGATGGGGCCCCCACTCCAGGGAGGCGGTGGGCTCTCCCACCCTGGAGCCCTCTGAGAGGGATGGGTTAACGGGGAGCCCTGCACGGGGCAGGGTTGGGACCCGATGCCCCTCCTGCCCCTTCCAACTCTGCTGTTCGATGATTCTGCATCACAGGAAAGACGAGTTGGGTTTTGGGAACGAAAAACAGGCCTCGGACGAGAAGCAAGGACAGGCTGGGCTTTTCAGCAAGCCAAATCACAGCCTAACAGGGAAGAGGGAAGATGGAGATGACAGACAGACAAAGACGCAAACACACACGTGGTGGAAATTCTTTTCATCCAGCACATGGCGGGCCCGTCACTTTCTGGGAATTGCAACCAATCCCACCCGGCCCCCCACGGAGCTGGACCGGCTTCTGCAGCAGCAGGTTCACGGCCACCCTGGAGGGCCATCCGTCCTTCCATCCTCCGAACTGCTCGGAGGTTCCCGGGGCATGGGGGAAATGAGCACGTTCCCCGGTCAGCGTGTCGGGAGAAGGCGGAAGGGCGGCCGCAGCATAGGCCCCCCACAGCCCAGGAGCCCCGCGGAGCTGGCCCTCCCCCTGGCATCCTGCTGCCCGCAATTCCTCCTGCTGCACGTGTAGCTAAACGAATAAGCGGGGAATAAAAGCCGGCAGAGAGAGAGAAACCCGCGTGTGTTTCTGATCAAGTCACTGTCATTCTTCAACTCACCCCCCTCCCCTTTAACGTTGTTCCTTGCAAATAGAAAGCTTCCCCCCTCCGCCCCCGCAGCCACCTCAGAAACAAAAATGGCCCCTTTCATCCCGATGTGTCAATGTTTGGAAACATCCCACTGAGGCAGAGAGCCGGGTGGCTCCGGGGCGGCCGGCCAGGCCGTGTATGCAGCACTCATTCCGTGAAAGAGGGCCAGGAAATGGCTTTGTGCTCGCTGGCCCCAAATGCCCGGCCTCGTCTCCCGAGGAGCCGATTGTCCGCCCGCTCACTGCCTGTCTGCCTCAAAGGGGCCGACGTCCCTTGCCCAGATCCAGGCCCCGCTGGCACGCCGGGCTTCCTCTTGGCCAGGTCGGTGCCGCCCAGCCTCTTGACCTGGGCGAGGGTGAATGTCCCTCCGGTCAAGATGATGGGCAGCGAAGGGGGCCCCCCGGAGCACCAGTCCCTGCAGGCAGAGCAGGGCTGTGCCGCTGCCGCCTCTCGAGTCCCCTCGCCTGACCCGGCCTCGGCTCACTCGGGTTTTCTGAGGCCTCCGGCTGAGTCATCAGAGATGGCTGAACTTCCCCCCGAAGCTGTCCATCAAAGCAGCCTCCCTTCAAGGCTTCCCCTCAAACTGTCAACTCCACTGTCCAAAAAGTGAAGAATGTTAGAGCTGCTCAGAAAGATGCAGCCCTCACCCCTATGGAGCATTTGGGCCCCATCCGGCGTGCAAACCAAAGGCAGCTTTCCCTTCCCTTTGTCCGTCCCTGGAAGCCGGCCGGCACTTCACCCCTGCCCGAAGAGGCGTCTGCTCTGCGGTGGGGGCGCCAAGGGGGGCCCAGCGTGGAGGGAGGGGGCGGAAGGAGAGCAGGCAGGAGCAGCCCGGGCTGGGAGCCTTTGTGTCCAGAAGAGAGCCAGTTCCGCCTCCAGTTCAGGACAGATTAACCTGCCGGACTCGGGCTGGCAGCGCCTGGAGGGGCTGGTGGAGGGGCTTGGGGGAACCCTCCGCACTCCCGTGCCGGCTGCCCCTCCTTTCTCCGCATGGCTCTGTGCCTCGCCAGACCTGCCTGCGACACCTGCCTGCTGCTCCTTATCTAGCTCAGCACCTGCGGTTATGAAACTGCAGCTGTCCGGGCCGTTGTGCTGAGCCCACAGCTCATCTGGCCTGGCGTGGCACCGAATCTGCCTTTTTAGCGGCCAAGGTTTTGCCGAGCGTCCTTCAGGGGCCTTGGCCTTCGTGCCAGTTCTTGTCCGGTGAGTGGGGTGGGGGCCCCAGAGCGCTGGCAATGGATCCGGTCCCTCTGCCATCACGGATTCAGAATCTGAGCTCCATCTGCCTTGGCAGCAAAGGCGCAGGAGATTTGGTTCCGCGTAACCTCATGCCCGGGACGCTCTCCAAGCAAATGTTTTGAAGGAAGAGGTTTGCAAAGGTACCCGAGGAAGCGGTGTGGGGGGAGCAAACGTGTCCACGGAGCCTGCCATGCATCACCCCGTGGGGCCAGGGGAAGCACAAGCCTGGAAGATGTCGGCAACCAGCCACATGTCTCTGGGAGCCTAGAGAGGCTACGGGGCCGTGGCCCCTTCGCCCAGGGGGCTCCCAGACCATGGGAAGCTGAGGTGGGTCTCCGGGGATTGGGGCCGTGGAGCCCAGTCTGCTCCTAAGCTGGTTCCCAGTCCTGGGACGCCCCTTCCCTGTAAGGGATGCTTTGTCAGTTCTGCCAAACCCCGGTCCCCTGCATGGGGGCCCAGCTCACCTACGGCTGGAACACGTTTCCTGCACCGTCCCCCACCACCAAGTCCTGGCAGCAGCTTCCACACAGAGGAGAGAAAAGAGGGGCCTTTCCAGTGTTGCCTAACTGCCTAACCCCCCCCCCCCCCCCCGCGCCCTGGTTCTGGGGGCCGAGCTGTGGGAGCCGTTCCTGGAGGCCTTCCGCCCTGCCCCACCAACACCTTTGCCTCTGCGGCTGGCCGGGTTCCGTGTGCTCGATGCGGCTCCCTCCTCTGCATCCACCCTGGCCGCCCACCGGCCCTGCGGGTCCGCAGCAGGGTGCGGCACAGAGCTGAGCAGAACGGGGCTCGGCGCTCCCCTCGCCGTGCGAGAGACAGAGAGAGAGAGAGAGAGAGCGGACAGCAGCAAACGTGGGCAAGGAGCTGAGCAGCTCCTCCCGTGGCCCTCTCGCCAGGCCAGCTGGAGCACCTGCCCAGGAAGGCTCAGCCGGCAGACGCCTCGAGAAAGTCTGTTCAGCTGAACGGCAACAAGGGGCACCCGCAGGCATCAGGGCCGGGGCTCTGCCAGCCGCAGCCGGCTCAGTCGGCCGGCCGGATCACTGCTCCGGACGGCCTTCCAGGAGTCGGGGCAAGGGCCCCTGCCTGGCCTGGCCTGGCCCACAGCCCGCGCACCCTTCCGGCTCTCGTTCTAACAGGAAGCGTCCGCTCTTTTTCCCAGGCCCCGGCATTCATCCGCACTCTCCTCCTCGCCCCCGTCGTCCACGCCTGATGAAAGGGCACCCAAAGCCCCGTTGCTGCTTCTCTTTGTGCGACAATCGAGTCTTTTCTCCGGCCTCCTGATAAGCAGAGAAAGACCGGCTCACTGAGGATGCCTTCCCACGAAATGCGGCCCTCCCAGCGGGGCGCTTATCGGCTCTGGGGAGCGAGGGAGGCTGCGCACCGGAGATGCAGCAGGCGGCGGCTTCGCGCCGGCTCCAGCGCAGGGCCGGCATTCGCGTGGAGGAAGCACAGCGAGCCATCCGCCCCCGCACCCTGCGGACTAAACGGCTCTAAGGACCACGTCGCGCCTGCGGATCGAAGCGCACACGTAGGAAAGGACGTGGCGTGTAGCTCCCTGGATGAGACCCGTGCCCTTGCACCCGCGCCGGGCATTCCTGCTGGACGGGGCGCCCAGCTAGAGCCATCTGCTCGTCCTGGAGTGGATGCGGGGAGGCCTGCCTCTTCCGGACCCGGTTCTCCTGGTTGCTTTCAGTCAAGCACCCCCCCCGCCCCCCAGCCCAGACGGCACAAAGCAGAGCACGAGAAGGGCCCCTGCACAACTACTGCCGGCTTTAAACATTAACTGCGTGTGCTTTGGCCTGCATTAATGAGGCGGAGCGCACCGCCTGGCAGTGGGTGAAAGTGTTCATGAAGGGCCACGCAAGGGGAGCACAGTGTGTGCCCGTCTCCCCCCACTGGGGACCCCCCCCGGCGGAGCGCTTCCCAGTGCCATCTCCGAACCGCCCGGCCTCACCAGCGAGAGACACTCCACCTGGGCGCGGCTGTGTGGCAAGGGGGCCGTCTGCCCTGTGAGACCTTTTCTCAGGTGGACTCCCCAACTCTCGCCCCCAGCTGCCCGGGCCTTGAGAGCTTGGCTAGGCACTTCTCCAGCCGGCTGCCCTCTGCTCATTCCCCGTGATCCCTGCTCCCTCTCCCCGAAACTGCAGGAGCTGCGGGAGGGCGCCGGCTGGGGGGGGGGGAGCTGCGGATCCCCTCCTCCTCCCTTGCAGAATCTCAGGCCCAAACTTTGGGAAAGCAGGAGGGGGTCAGCAGCCTGATTGTTGTTGAAGGCGCATGGTGGAGAGATGGGTCCAAGGCCCCCCAGCCCCCCAAGGCCTGCCATCCGGACCAGTCTTGAGAAAGATTCTGCCATCAGCACTGCAAAGCGAAACATCACGCAGCCTTCCTAGCCTCCAGCAAATTTGGTTAAACTGTAACCCTGCGTGGCTTGAAAAGATTACGCTGGAAATAGCTTTCTTCCCTCCGGGCAGCACAGTGGGACGCGGAACAAGAACCAGCTTGTTAAATCTTGTGTTTGAGCATCGAGGGGGCAAA